CTGTCTGGTTTGTTTCTCTTTAAGGGGTAATTGGTGAGACCTGTCTTTAAGCGTCCTCAGAAACTTCTCACTCTTTGCAAAGAGAAAGCTGTCTTAAAACTGAATGCTTACGTCTCTGTCTGGTTTGTTTCTCTTTAAGGGGTAATTTAATGTCCACTCTGACACTGCACCCCTACAAACCCCCCCCTTTGGCCCAAAAACTGTACCCCTACAAATCCCCCCTTTGGCCCAAAACTGTGCCCCTACATATCCCCCCATTGGCCCAAAACTCTGTTGTTGACGATAACGACGATGATGTCGACAATGTCGACAACGATGTCGACGACAACATCATCGTGTCGACAACGATGTCTATACATTTTGTTTTTACAGCAAAGAAAGATATTTGTATGTCTCATATTGCTAAGCAGAAGAAGGGGGTTTGTCCCCTGCTGATTCCTAAGGCAATAGCCACATTTACAAATGAAAGTATGCTAATTGGAGCCATCAGAATCGTCCGTTTGGACTAAGGGTCTTTTGACCTTCTTTCGGGACTTCAGGGGGGTGGTCAAAATTCCTGGGATTTCTAGTGTTAAWAGCTTTGTTTGAACACTGGTAAAGTTTAATTATGAAATTATAATTAACTCCAGTTCAYTGTACTGACTCACACTGAACTGAAGTTGCTTCATTCCTCTCTTCATCAGCCTTTTTTTTTAATGTGCAGTGTGCTAGGTTGTAGTCTCATCTCTCCAGGTGTTGTTTCTACAGGTGAAGGTAGAAAGTGTGTGAGCTGGGSTGAATTCAGCATCATGGATCAGAGTGAGGACAGAGAGGAGGGGGCTCCTCCCTCTGAAACCCCCCAGGGAGAGAAACTTGATGAAAGGTGAGAAGATCGATCACCTCTAAATGTTCATCAGAGAGCTCAGCTCTCACATCAACAAACTGTCTTTATTCACAGGAGTGGACCTGAACCAGAACCAGAACCAGAGCCCAGTGGCGTGTCCTTTAAAAGTGATTTTTCAAAAGACATGGGTGTTGATTTTAAGTCAGAACAACTTTCTGCTTTAGAGAGGTGAGCTGTATTTAAATATTATAAATGTGTATAAATGAAGAGTTTGACATGTTTTTATTCCAGCATGTCTTTGATATGCAGACAGTTTAAAATAAAAACGTTATAATACMTGTGGACAGCTGTTTAATGTGCTGTATGCAGTACTTTTGTTTTGATTTGAAAAGAAAACAGTTTTTGTCAACATAAAACTCGCAAAGAAAGTAGCAGTGAAAACTGTGAGCTTCAGCAGCTTCTTTTAAATACTGACCTATTGGTGATTTAACTGTGTGCTTTCTCTGTACAGTGATGGTAGAAATGTTTTGGCTATGATTGCACATACATTTAATTAAACTCTTTCTGTCTCAGCAGCCATCAGAGAGTAAAACCTGACCCTGAGCCCAGCTGTGTGTCTTTCAAAAGTGATTTTTCAAAAGACATGGGTGTTGATTTTAAGTCAGACCAACCTTCTGCTTTAAAGAAGTAAGTTGCATCTAAATGTTGTAACTCTTGATGTCTACAGATAGTACAGATAGTGAATAAAACTTGAGTTCGTAAGGTTTGCAAATTATTGTTTATGGTTTTGTAATAGAACTACAAATGAAGTTAAATAAAARGAATTTAAAATTTTAAAATTTAAAACTAATATCCATTTATAGAGCACTTTCTTTTATGTAAAGTTTCTTCTCYTCAGTCTACTGAGTATTCACATCAAAGAATGAACCATTATCAGCTCACTCAGCTGGAAAGCTTCAATATCAAGTAAAATAAATTACAATTAAAAATAGGTTGTTATCAAAGTGCTGCTGAACTAAAAAAAAGTGAAGTCTGTAAATACAAACAAAAAAAGAAATAAAATAAAAAAATAAAAACAATAAACCAGTGGTGGGCATCACTATTTGAAAAGTTGTTTGCGCGAATTCTAAAGTGCTTGCAAAATTATTTAGGTTTGCAAGGTCTAAAGCACATATGCCCAAGGAAACCTAGGAGAAGGTAAGTCTAAAGCACAAATTTGTCTGAGAATATAATCTGGTGATAATGTCTGGCTCATGGTGTTAAATACATGGTTGTTGTGGATTGCAGGTTCTGCTGCTTCTTGGTCCTTTTCTTGTGTTTATGGTAGGGCTTTGGTAAGAAAGCATGCAATATATTAGTAATTTTAAAACTGTTGATTGTAGAACTGAAGCGATGCATTCTGGGTACAAGACGGAGAACAGGAAACCGTCTTCACTTCAAAATAAGAGCATGAATTTAAACTGTGGGTGGCTTCGAACGACGTGAGACAGTTGCTGTTTCCATATGATGGAGCTCTGTTGTGTTGACCAGAGATGGCTAGCTCCCTCCAATGCTTGAGATGATGAAGCTTTAATGAAATGTGTTTGCACAACATAGTGAGRTTAGTCTGCTGTTTTACATTGTAGTGGGTTTAGATGGCTTTRTTTCTCTGCTYTAGACAATAAAACTCAATGAAAACTTTAGTTTAACGRTACTACTTAGTAGCAGGATCACAAACTGACCACAGTCATTTGCTAAAAGAATATCATTACTGACCCTCACCAAAGCTATTTCTGTGCTGTGTAAGTGTGTAAAATCTGTGTGTAAAATGCTGTGCAGTTTTAGGAGAAAATCCGCATTTGTGCATTGTTTTGAAATGCTGTTCCACGTCATCCTTTTTGGACAAGGCAGTGCTTGAATTACATATGAGTCCTCTTCCCACTCCAGGTGAAAATAAAAAGTTTTTGTTTGCTTTTTAGCTCGTTTGTCTTTCATTATTTTCCGCCTCAAGATCATGTTTTAAACATGTGACCCTAAAGTCTCGCAATATCATGTTCAGACCACTGTCTCACAGCACCCAAAACTCGCGAGACTACCTTCCTCTGAGCTTCATTCTAACTCCGGCAGAAGCGGTGGAGGTGGGAGGCGGGAGGAGTTTACATTCCTGAACGCGCTCCCTCCGCTCTCCTCCTCCCACCTCCACTGCTTCTGCCGGAGTTAGAATGAAGTTCAGCGAGCTCCTGACCGGAGCACAACCAGCAGACGACAGCTGTCGTCAGCTGTTAGAGCAAGTTGTGCTTCGTGGGCACCTGGGAACAAGCTCGCGGGCAACCGACTGGTTGGGCACCCCTGGTTTAAAGCATATGACTGCAAATGATCAAAAAGTGTAAACGATAAGACTGAAGAAATTTTTATAATTGATTAACTGAATGTTAGGTGCAGTATTGTATATTATACTTTCTGATCATTGCAGTCTTAAGTTTAAACAGAATGAGAGTTGGTGTGTGTCTTTATGTGTTCTTTCTTTTAGCCTAAACAAAAATGAGTTATGTTCTACGTCTGACGTAAAAATTTACCACCTCCATGGGTGTAACCAGGAAGAGTTGTACATTATAAGGTCAATTCATTATTATAGTAAAAGGAAATTATGTTGCAGAGTCTCTGCTTAGAGCAGAGTCTGTTTTGTTTTGGTACAGCCCAAGGTCTTGAGAGACCTGTGCTGCAGTTGCTCTACGAACCTGATTGGAGTCAGAACATTCAGAATAAAGCTTTAAGAAGAAATCCATTGGATTCGTCTTTTATTCGGACATACCATTTTGAACAACGTATATTTTTCTACAAGACTTTATTTAAAAATCAGTTAATTATCACAAAAATTCCTTCAGCTCCATATGGACCTTTTGAGCTTGTGGACAGACAGAATGGCAGCTAATTTTCCATGATTCCTCCACAGAGTGGACCAGCAGAACTCAGAGGTTCCTGGTGCTCAATCTGCTCAACAGTGTCAGACCCAGCTGGACTCCATATTTATGGTTTGTACATAAGTTTCTTCTCCACCTGTTGGGTTCATAGTCGTCTCCATTTTGCATTTTGTAGTTTACTGTCATTTTGTCCAACATGGATCTGATGTTTGGCTCAATGATTTCAGTCTGATGGGTCATTCGTTCATATTCTGTTCCAGGTGCTGGAGGA